ACTTATGCTAGTGAACTAACCTTTTCTATGTTCCCACGCATACTGGGCTCACGGCCACTGCAAACCACTTAAGCGTCTTGAAACGTGAACATTAAAACCTGAACCGTGACAAACAATCAAACAAAAAACAATACTAATGCAATGTAAAGCTATTCCTACTCTGAATCTAACAATTTGAAAATGTTGTATGGACACCATAATCACAGCTTTTGGCATGGAAATTGAATTTCTTTGCTGACCAAGTCTGATTAACCTTCTCAAAAGATCAAAAAGGTATCATAGATGGGATTGGGTGGCAGGTTAACGTAAGGCTGTGTTCACGACTGACCATGAAGTCTACCTGGGAATGTGTGCTTGCATGTATTTGACTGGCCAACAAAGTGGGTAGCCAGATGTTGTTGGACTGCACTTAAGCAAAGGTCGAGTTAGGATCATCTTCACTGCTGGATAAGCCTGCAGCAGCAACCCACTCGCAGTAGTAGTGGTGAATGAGGATTCAGCATCTTTGTAATTTACAATATAAGACACTGTAATGAGGTCCCTGATCCTAGAAGATATTTTAGAAAGAAGCCTGGAGTTCTGAAGGTTTCACTTTGCAATCAAACTCGGTTCCTTTAAATAGTACCTTAAAATCAAATCAGCCTTTCTAAATCACACCCCTTGTACTCTCCAAAGTCTGACTCCTCTCAGAGAATTACTCTCTAGTTCAGTCACTGTCATTTTCTTGCCAATGCTGGTTCATTCTGTAGTCTCTGGATCTTTTTCAGAGCACCCCTGATTCCAACACTTTTATGTAGTGACTTGTAATCTGGGTGATGAAAGAATCTATGCTCTTTGACTTTTTGTGATTGGATAGCAGTCATAAATATGGAAATATATGCACGGTGGGGACTTAATAATGTAAGAAAGATTGTTGATTGACCTACAGGTCAGAGATCGTCCTTTAACTAAAAACTAAAATCCTAATGATTGCTGCAACAGAACCATGTCCCATTGTAATGCTTCATATGTGAAACACAAAAGACAAAAATTAAGCTAGAAGTTAAGGCATGAGCAGATAATGTAAAGAGATGTAAAGAGAGTCGATTAGATTTGGAAAAGAAAAGGGAAGAGAGTGGATACATCAAACAATAAAAGTCCATTAAAGCCATCCATCAGTGCGGCAGTGGTCAGAGGTGGGAGATCCGGCTAACCCTCTCCGGGAAACAGAGAGATGAATGACTTCCTAACAGGTGGACTATGAGCTTAACAGGAGGGGGGTAGCAGCAAGAGGACGTGGGGTTTAACCTGGGACTGAGGGAGTGTTGGGTTACAACTGCTCCTCCGGAGAGAAACCGTGACCCCGTGGCTGTCTCAACTCACAGGAAGTGGATTTATTTTCCTAGCCCTTTCCCAGTAATCCTCCCTTCACAGACACACAGACGGGCGTGTGGACACAAGCACGAGGATTCACACATTCAGAGTGGCGCACATACACAGGTGGAAAAAAAGATGAATGTACATATGTTTATAGAGTCATATTAAAATGCTCAAGCACGAGCATTAATATGGATTTGGGGGTTTCATATAACTAGCCGTGGCAGTATAATCTATAGAAGAGCTGTTCCACAAACAGCTCAACCACAGATTAAAAGAAAAATGAGCCAGCGCTCACAGATGAGACGGACACAACTATTCTCAACCCTCCAGCTAGCTAAAAATGGCATAAAAAAAATCCATTTCTAAATGTACTGAAGGTCCACTAAAAGTACAATTCTGTCTTGGCTAACCTTCGGCCAATCACTCAAGGTCTGCAGGTAGATGCTTCTCAATGAGAGGAAAAAAAAGACATGAAAAAATGTTCATGAAAAAAATCAATAACTTGTTTTTCTGCGAGCCTGGAGGAGCTGTACAGAAATAAGCCCAGCCAGCAACACAACCATGAGGTGTCTGATCAACCTACACAGTTCACCGGGCCACATCCTCCCTGCCTCCACTCAGGGAGAAAATAGCATCAGCGAGCAACAGTGCCAGATATCAAGGTAGACTGTTATTTTCACACACGTACACAGTAGAGGTTCCTTTATAATGGCGTAGCTGCAGTTGTCCACCAGTTAGACAAACTGAAATACAGTCAAAACAATAATTTGGCCTTAATGTGTTAGCCAGTCCACCTCGACCCAGAATGGAGAGAATGGAAAAGGCAAATGGAGAAGGAAGACTCAACCCTGATTCATGGCACAAGGAGAACACAGAATCAACAATCATTAAAAACATGAGCTGATCACAAGGGGAAGGCAGAGTACCATGAATGTTTTTGGTTGTCTTTTTTCTCCCTCTCTCTTCTTGCCGGGATCTTACAGGCCAGATGACGACAACATCTCATGTCTGCTCTTTTTTATCTCATTCGAGCTCTATTTTCCTCTCTCACCCCAGCTCCTCCAATTTCTCCAGGCAAGGATAACAGCAAGTGGGGAAGAAAAACACAACACATCATCATTTGCCTTTCAGGTGTCACTGGTACCTGTAATAGACCTGGCTGGCTATTTTTAGACTCCTACACGGACCGACTGTCAGCATGTTCCCACTAGAGGCCCCTGAGGATACAAGCTGTACCCTTGAGAGAGCACATTCAGAGAGCTGAGGGTTAGTCAAATGTGGAAGGATGGCGGAGGTGACATGGAAGGAGGGAAGCCCTTAAGAGTATCGGGAACAGAGGTAAACAGCTCAGAAATAATCATGATGTGTCACAGTGAGAAAAACTGCGGTAAACTTGAAAATATGACGACAGGCTTATTACTGACATCACATGAATTTTACACCCCTAAAGCATTTAAACAGGACTGCATATAAAACAATGATTTACTGATACTGACATCTGGATTCAAGGGGCCTCGTTTTGTCTCTGTTGGTATTTTACTTTAGGAAGCTACCCCCTTAAAAACAGATCCTGATCCAGGTCATACCAGTACCATATCGTCATCCAGTCACAAGCTTCCACGTGTCTCACCTTCGTTCTACACATTCAGGACAAAGCAGTATGAAAAAGACAAGGTTTTCAGGGACTCCAATGTCCTTTAATAGTGTAACATACAGTACTGCTATTTAGTCATTTTAGAGTAGGTAAGCAACAAATTTTCGTTATTAATTAATCCATAACTCAATATTTCTTTTAGTTTTTACAATGCCAGAAAACAAAAAGACTCCAATATGGCACATTCAAATTGTTTTTTTCTGTCCATCCAATATTAGAAAACAAATAATTGTTTAACACAGAAAAGCAAGTAGCCATATTTGAGAAGACAGAACCAGTTAATGTTTTTAATAAATTGATGATTATTTTGTTAATTGACTAATCAACCATCATTTCAGCACTATTTTAGAAATATCTAAATTATCCATGTGCTGTATTTGAAGAAGAAAGAAAGAAAGACTGTTTTTATACCCAACAATCCAAGGGGAACACAAAGTGAGAGTCGCATAAAGTTGAGATAAAAGATAAGAGTGACAAAAGGAGAGACAGGAGGGGGGATAGAGGTGAGGGGAGGGGCAGATGGGAATCTGAACAGAGATTCCCATCTTGAATTAGTGATAAGGCTTGCCCTCCTCTTGTATTTTTGATGAGGAAGATCAGGTTTTTGAACACTTATATGCAAGGCGCCTAGGAGACTGGAGCCACCACCGGGAGTCTTGCAGCAAAGCAGAGCATTACGGGACATGTGCGGTGTCCCAAGACGGGTTTCCGCTTTGACTCCGCTTTCACTGGGGCAATCAAGAGGTCGGGAGGCGTGACGTGATATTATGTTACGTAAGGTCTAATCAAATACTTACTGCTGCATTAAGCGCTTTCAGCCCATAGAAGGAGAAACTCATCTGCCAGACTTTATGCAAAACAACAGCCTATTTACACATCCGGCATCCTTAGAGCAACATGAACACTGAAATTGGCTCCAATGGGCACTTTTAGCTGCTAGCATCCAAATACAAAATTGTTCTCCACAATGCAATGCAATATCACATTGCACAGCGCAATCAAACACTTGCAATCGATATTGCTGGTAGAATATTTCGTATCATGTCAACCATTTTCCATGACAAAGGATAAAAGGATTGTCGCCATAAAATGTTTGCAGAGTTGTGACAGTTCATAAACCACAGTGCTGTTCAGGTGTCTGACAAGCTTTGGATGGATCACTTAAACTGGACATGCTGGATTGTTTTTCCATCTTCTTCCACCCATATCAACGCAGTGCCTTCCATTCCCCCTTTATTAAACACAGTGTTACTTTAGATCCGAACGTTGCCTACATGCAGGCTGGGAAGAGGCTAAAAGCTGCGCAGACCTGTAAAGTTGGTTGCTAACTGTAAGTGTGTCCAGCACTACAACTGATCCTCTTACAAGAAATACTCACTTAAAGTAAATTCAACCCCATTAAAATTGCCATATCAGGCGTATAACATGCTCTGTATGCCTGCATGTTTATTACATTAGGGCCTACATGAGAATAAATGAGCAAGAGTCAGTTATTCTAACAGGGTATGGGAGAATGAATTAACATGTTTGATTGTGCTTTCACTGCGTGTGCACAAGTGTGTTTCCCTAAATGTAACACTATGTTTGTGTGGACGTGTGTGAGTGTGAGGGTGTTATGCAGCCTCTGGGAGCCCTCGTCCTGATGGAAAGTGAACCCCCCTCCCCCCTGGAGCTGTTACTATCTTTAGCTCGTTTCCGTCGTGTCTTGTCACTCGTGTTCTCCTCTACAGCACTTAAATCGGGTATCTAAACCTCCCGGTCATCCAATATCCTTTACTTCCCCTGCACAGGAAGCTAGAGAGGAGTGGGAGTGGGGCCATCTGTGTAAATGTAGACACAAGTACACACTGCAATTACACAAACATGCATGTCCTTATATATTAACAGTTGAATAATCACTAAAAATGATAGCGGAACACAGGAAATTCACTACACACACGAACACAAGGATTATTAAGGATAATGCACTTAATCACACAAGATGGAAGGCCATACAACCACAACGTAAACACATACACACAGGTCTGTGACAGGAGGCGCATTGGTAGAGGACACCTTGTCTGGTCAAACCGGCGTCACAGCTAACGTCTGCAGGGACACGAGAGATGGCGTAAGTAACCAAATCTAACCTTCTGCTATCTAATCGCCTCTTATATCGCGCACACACAAACACACACGCTATACTTGCACAGCTAAAGCTTTGAGGACTGTTTATCAGCAGTATTATTAAAAACCTTCCACAACACTATATAGCTAACCTTAATTAAATAGATGACCCCAACCTTGACTCTAAACTGCACAACAAACTTGCCCTCTGTACAAGTAACAACTAGCAGTCTGCTCTACTTTTTTCATGAACTTACCTATGCGGACATTTCAGTGCTTATAAAGACAGACAGACCATGCGCGCACACACACACACTCATACTCATTATAACACTTTGCTGTCTTCCTTGGCCTCATTTCACGCTTGCCATTCTTCATGTGTTTCACAGCTGACTTGATATCTGTTCAGTGCAATGGGTTTGACACTCTCCGTGTCGCCGCCTACTCTCTGCTGCCACTCAACTACAGGAGAGACTCAAGCAGCCGAAACACTGTACTACATTTTGAGAGATGCCCGGTCACGTAATTCAAGGTATACTTGCTGCTCACACTACACACTCAGAAATATAAGTGCATAACAAACTACTTTTGTTAAGGATCATTTTTAATGTAGTTCAGCTTATTTCAAAATGGTATATCTAGACAAATTTGAGTTTAAGAAAGCTGTGAAGGCAGTTATAGTAAGAATGGCAAGAATGACTTTATCAAATTAATAGTTAAATTAGTTCAAATAAAATGTTATGTTATTCAGTTTCAGAACTGCCTAGCCAGAGACAAGTAGAAAACTATTTAGCTAACACTTGGTGGTCCTGGAGGCCCCTCAATGACCTCTGGGGATCCTTGAAACCTGAATTCGGGGACACTGTCTCAATCATATGAGGATATTTAAACATTAAAACACATGTACAAGAGTGTGAAAAGACTTAACTTAATGCCATTGAAGTCAAAGGAAAAAGTAAGTAAGTAAGAGAAGATGGCCCTAGATTAAGGACATGAAGGTCACCAATGGCAGAAGGAACTAGGAGTGCAGGAACCTCCTCATCTAGCCACCCACGTACCCAACCTCAGGCCATTTGCATCTCCCATCCCTTCCCTCTCTCCATTTCCGCCAACGCTTGGACCCATTAGGGCGATGGCGGGGGGAACACGGATGCAGGGCGGAAGGGAAAGCACTCTGAGGACATCAACAAGCAGGGATGGGGGAGGAAAAGAGTAGGAAATGACCAGAGGGGAAGAGAAGAGGAGAGCAGAGGAGAGTTCCTCAGTGATGTAAATCAGAGCTGACAGGAGGAGTAGCACTGGGGGCTCCCTGCTCTGAACCGTCCTAAGCAGGAATGACTCTCACACACATACATTCACACTCCAGTGCTCAGTGACTCATGTACACACACAAACACACATGCAGGCTCATTCACTCACATGCACACTGACATAACTGCTCTCACAGAGGGTACGACAAGCTGCAGGGGGCACAAAGAAGGGATGGATGAGCATGAATGAGTCAGGAACCGTCTGTGTGTGTGTGTGTG